ATAACCACTTTTTAAAGCCCTGATCACGTGGATACTCTTCGGTTCTAGATCTGTTTTTTCTATTTCTATTTCTTAAATTTTTTTTAACAATTCTTTTCGTAAACCGGATTTTTCAGGCAGGTGAAATGATTAGAAATTGGGGAAAAAGAATTAAAACCGCTGAATTTTTCCGCGAGTGAAATCCCGGGGGTTGAAAGGGGTGGAAAGCGGTGTTATGCAAATTGTGGCAAAACCATTAATTTTAGATGAAAATGTAAAAGTTATAGAGATTAAAAAAATGAGCAACTTTTGTATCTGCGTATAGCCTCCATCCAATTTCCCTAGAAAAACCGGAAAAACTGTTTTTTTTTCGTTTTTTATTTTATTATTTTTGCGAAAAAAAGTTGTAGGGGTTTGAAATTTGGAGGAAACATAGCTTGCTTTATGATAAAATAGGAGATAATTTTTTGGGCCCCTAAAGTTGAACCGTCTCCAAGATCTCACGATTTCTGAAAAAAAAACACTTCTTCTTCAAGGGAATGAAAAATCTATTTTTTTTTCATCGTACAGAGAGTACTGGCTCACAACGTATTGTAATATCTCCACCAATAACCCAAGGAACCACACAAATACAACCTCAAGAACAAAGAAGCACAATAAATACATTATATTAATTATTATAATTATTTTTTTTGTTTTGTTTTCCTCTTTCTGATAGCGTTGGCTATTGTGCCCATCAATAGCTATGTTGGTAAGTATGAATTACATACTATCTCTAGATTTTCAATGTGCGTGTGTATTTTTTTTTAATGTTTTTTTTTAATATTTTTAATTTTTTTTTTAGGATCCGACACAGACACTAATCGTTACTTGATTTTAATCCGTGCGATTAGTTAACCAGGCTAGACCTGAGTTCTCACAAGAAACACCGACCATAATAATAATAATAATTTTTTTTAACAATTGAAATGATGGCAGTTTGTAATTTCAATAAAGTTTATATTATACCAATTGTGATGTCTGCTACTGGTATAGTATCGTGCAATTTTAAAAAACATCTACTACAATTAAATTTAAACCCAAAATTATTTACGTTAACACCAAGATCTGTCTTACTACAAACATGTCCCATTGTACGGAAATTTTTCAATTTAAATTACAATCTAAAGTATATTTGATATGTAAATTTGATTATTCCTTTTTACCGAGTTAATGATAATAATTTAACAAAAAACAAAGTTTATATAAATATCTCAAAAACAAAAAATAAATTATGGTTGGTTATTACCCCCATAATTTATATAGTTATACCAATGTAATTGTGGAATAATAAATAATAATAATAATAATAATAATCTTTATTGTTGTTAAGACAAAAAAAGTTTTGTTTACAAACATCAATTTTGGAAAAGATAAAAAATAAGGAACAAATAATCAAAAATAAAAAGTATTATGCCAATAGAAAAATTTTAAGAAAAGCAGCAAAAACTGGGGGAACAGTTTTAAGATATACACCTGTTGATATAGTAGATAAATGCTCGTACCTTTTTTTTTGCAGCTAAATTAACGTATTGGATCCGCGCTAATAAAAAGTTTTTGAAATCTGTCCTCTCTCCCCTATAATGTTGCTAAAATATTTTCTTTTGTTTCCTAGTGCCCAACTGGCTTAATTAAAACATCTTTGTTATTTCTTTTTTCTGCATTTTTACGGCAATAAAAGCAATTCGCCCCCTTGAAAAAGTGGTGGTTTTTTTCAGAAATCGTGAGATCTCGGAAATGGTTCAACTTTACGGGCTCAAAAAAATTGTCCCCTTTTTTATCATAAAACAAGCTTTTTTTCCCAAAAATAAGAATAAAAATCGAAAAAAAAGGATTTTCCGGTTTTTCTAGGAAAATTGGAGGTTATGTGTAAATAGTGCAAAGACAAATGTTGTTCATTTTTTATTCTCTATAACTTTTATATTGAACATTTTCGCCCAAAATTAATAGTTTTGCCACAAATTGCAAAATACTAGTTTCCACCTCTTTCAACCCCCGTGATTTTACCTGCGGAAAAATTCAGCTATTTTAATTACTTTTAGTCTGCCACTGCATTGAAAATACTTCGCCGAAAAAAGTACCTCATTGCGAAAGAGCAGTTTAGACTGCCCAAAATCTGCCTTTGACATAAATTCTGACGACAGACTGTATTTCGCATTCCGTGTGAAAACGGCCTTACAGTCTGATACATACTACAACTTCTTATAGAAGGATGGTCAGGTTATTCCGAACTTGGATCTGCTGTGCAATTCATATTGCCGGTCCGAAAGGTACTCAAAGGTCTCCATGAAAGGAATTAATTTCTACCAACCATAGTCCTCGAAATATTGTCGAAGGAGGGTACTCACAACGGGCGATTTGGACGTCTGGAAGAAATCTATTGGTCATGTTAAAACTTTAAGAGCGAATATCTCAAAAACGGTTTGTCGGAGGAAAGCACTTACAAAGGCAAAATGAATCGTTTGGACATCTATTGGTCAAGTGGAAATGAATATCTTCCAAACGAAATGTCAAAAGAGGAGACTCATAAAGGACAAGTGGAACGTCAGGATCTACTGGCAATGTTAAAACTTTCAATGCAAATATCTGCAGAACGGAGTGTCGGAGGGTACTCTCAAAGGGCGGAAAGATCGTCTAAACGAGACACATGTACCAGTACAAGATCTCATATAAGTTCAAGCTTCGCTCATCTGTTTACCGAGTGAAATAAAATTTTTAACAATCAATAAGTAAACCAAGCACATTGCAAATAGGTTGCCTAAAAAAATTAAGTCAAGACTAACCTTAATTAAAATTAATCTAATTAATATTTCTGCCTGCTTCTATTTCATGGAGAGAGCGCATGCGCGCTACGCTCTTTTTAACGGAACTTTTTATTATACCATGAACGGAACCCTAAAGCCCTAAACTAAATGCAATACCTGTTATACTTATATTTGTATTGTTTATTAAGGCCCGGTGCAAATGATCCGCAAAGTAATCGGTGCATATGCGATGGGATGCCGCGTTGCCCCACTACTTCCAACATCTTACTGATTAACTAATATCAAACAATCTCGACGAGGGTATCTGATAGATTTTTTTGCCTTTATTTTTGAGTGGGCAGGGTTTCCAAGGCCGCTCTACCAACCCAACCCACTATACATTTACAAATATCCATGCCCGAACCCGGATTCGAACCAGGGACCTTTAGCACCACAGTCTGGCTTTAACTGCACTGCGCCACACGGGCCGGCGTGAGGCGTCCTTGTGCATTACCCCATTATTCCTAACGTCCTTCTGACTATCTGGTAGAAAACAATCTCAATATACCAAAAAAGATAGATACAGTAAGTTGAGTGAGTTCATGAAATTGTTTATTTTTATCTTAGCTAACTTTATTCGGCCGGAGGGCATAAAACAGGACTATTCTCTGGTACGTGTTGGGGCAACCGAAGTCGCACTAAAAACCCACTGCGTAGCTATGAACGTCAAGATGTCCAGAGGTGTTGCACTAGAGTTCAAATTTCGTTTTTGTCGTTTAAGAGAAATGTACCCGAGATTGGCAAGGCCTAGTGTAGCGAATTTTCTAGAACGATATCAAGGCGTCATTAAGTCTGCATTTTTTTGCTATATAAGAAAATTGAATTGCGTTTAGTCTCAGTCTAAGGTTCGATGTCGAAGTAATAAATATTGAAATTCGCGCTCATGTTATTAATTAAGTGTTATAAAAGTGAGTGATTGATAAATATTGGATTGTTATAAATCAATCTATTTAAGGACCGTTATAAATATAGCTTATTGTAACACCGTTAGTTCCTGTCAACATTAATTATGAATTTTATATAAATAAATCATGCAATTAAATTTACGTTAGTGTATTTACCTATTACCATAGACCAATATGCTATTACCATTATGATATTCTAGCCAGGGGGCAATCGCCACCTGCGCTTATGGGCCACTCCGCCTCTGTTGCGGCGCGTAAACTCCAAGCTTATCTTCACAAAATACGGAATTGAGTGTAAAAAAATGTATATTTGCAAAATTGTAAAAGTGGTTTGAATAACAAAGATGCAATTTATTTATTTTACAAGTTCTATCTTTATGTACAGTATTGCTTAGTACCTTGAGGGGCATTGCATTTTGTATAATCGTTCGTAGATCCGGTGTTCTTGTGAAGTTGGCCGTGGTCTTTCCGAACAGGATTTTCAAGAAATAGTGAAGCATAATCAATAAGTTTTGGTATAGTGACCGAGGTGCATTGCAGTTTGAAGAAAGTACAGATTTATTCAAAATTCGTCTGGTGTTCTCGTGAATATATCCCTGATTTCCCAAAAAATGGCAGAACTAAATCCATCGACTCGCCCACTTCTCGTGCCCAACTTCACGGGAGCGGTTTACACCGGACATTGTGCCAGTACATCAATCTAGTAAGATGATTGACGTAAAGCAACTGCATTTGTGAAGGTTAATTGGGACAAAATATTTGTAATCCTTTCATATTTATATTGGTTATAAAAATAACGCAAACAGAAACCGTTTTCGAAACCCCGTCGATCAATAAACATCACTTAAGTCGCGAATTACTAATATAAACGCACATCAAACTAACAAATTAAATTTACTTACTCAATAATAATGTTTATAGCAACGATAAATTTTTATTTGAAGAAATCAAAGTGAAAGACCGTAAATCACGTGTTTTTACAGACGAAGAGCAAATATAATAATGGGTATACAGGGTCATACTTCAATTTTGACGTTTAACGGTTATAGAGGCTTTAAATTTAATATGGACATAAAATGTTTGATTATTTCGATTCCAATCAAAGTAGCTTGTCAGATAAACGAGAAATTCGAGCAACTGATAGGAAGCGTAGACGAGTAAATAATGAAGATACGAATTTTTTTTTACGCAGTGTATATAGATAAGCTTCCCAGGAACTTTCCAAACAAATGAGTAATGTAAAGTAAATATGATAAAATGCAAGAGAGTGGGGCTCACCGAGCGCGCGCATTTCAAGTATGCGGTTTTTGTGTTATTCTCCCGCTCGTCGGTTATTTCCTATGATTTGCTGTTGAGCGTAAGTTTGCTTCCGTGATGTAACGAAATTTGAAAATTAAAGTGCGCGTCGTTTGATCAGTGAATTTATACTCAAAATTTTGTGTTGAAATTGGACTACTCTTCAGTTGTAACAGTGCATTTTCCGCACGGATTTTTGTGTTAAAAATTGGATAATCTTCTACGAGTAAGTAAACTTTGATTATTGGGTCCGACCATGGTAATACTTACATGGGTCCGACTTATCCATATTTTATACGTGTATTATTGGCGAAAATGATGAAATGATACAAAACCCAAAACCGTATTGCCCGAATGTTGTAGAAAATTGTACTTGCCTACATTGTTTTTCGTTTGTTGTATAGGGTGATTCATATAGTTGCGTTCTCAGAATTTGAATTGAAAACATAAAAAACAACCAACGCTTTTTTATGTTTTAGCAAAAAATAGTTTCAGTAATAAATCCTTAAACAGTAACAGCTCAGAGGTTGAATCAACCCCTTGGCGTTTGCATGTTTTCCCACGTCGATGGGAAGTGATAAGAATCCATTTCCGTCTACCATTTTTCCATACAGCCTACATACAACAATAGCTTAAACGGGCAGGAGGGGGGGGGGTTAAAGAATACACCTCCAAAGAGACCAAAAAGGGGATTAGAAATTTTGTTTTGGTCTCGGTTTTGGTTTATTCTTGGACCTATTTCAGTTGCAAATGTAGTATTCGAAGTAGCTACATGCGGAAATGGATCTGAATGCAAGCCTCTTTCGAAATCGGATCTCAACTCTGATACTCCAATTACAATGACAGCTTTCCAACAAATTCATGTGGAATTCTCAAATCGGATATTCGCAAACCAAACCATATTTAATACAACCATAGTGTAAAGCGAGGTGTAAAGATTCTATTCTTTACACAATTACGCTATGCTATGGCAATTCTAAAGATTTATGGGTTTCAAAAACCGAGCAGATTAAATTCCAATGTTATATAGGTAGATTCAAAAAGCTGAATTTGAAAATTGTAAGTTTGGCTTTTAAATTAAAGGCCTGGTATAAAAGCATTTTCAGTAGTAAGCCTACTGAAAATGGGTCAAATCCAATGACCCCGTAGGGTCACACCGAGGTGCTCTGTCGCTTTTTAGCGCATTTTTGCAAAAAATTTTTTTTGTAAAAAGTAGCTTTTAATCTCACTTTGGCTGGCTGGCTGGCTGGCTGGCAGTAAATGCGCGCCCGTAGAAAAACGCTTGTAAAAAGACAAGGAGTGTACATGTAACTATCGGGGCCGTGTAATTAAGAACGTTAGGGATGGGGCTACAAGATTTGGAGTCGACGACATCTGGACGCCATCCCCGAGCGTATTATACTAACCTGGAGATTTTTCAGTTTTTATCTATCTTCTTCTACAGTTTTTCTCCGATTGTTTTCAAATTGGTGTCGTCGGGAAGATCTTGTCAACGCGCACAACTCCTGCGTCGCGGAATTTTGTTTTTTTTTCCTAGGGCGACATAAACCACCTTTTGCGCGGCGCGCTTCGAGGGGTAGACGACTTTGGGCGCCCAAAAGTTTCTTACAGCGCGAATCGCGGTCTCTCTTTCTCGTGTCACTAATAGAAGGTCGAGCTATGTGAAGTACCCAAAAGTTGAATACGATTTTATGCCGGGATTTTAGCGAAATCTACCAAAATGTGAATTACGAATGAACGGGACGTCGGAACTGTGTATCGACAAAGGGAATGTGGTAACCCCCGACGAGATCTTACTGATGGTGGAGTCGAAACTTCACATCCGAATTGTTGCGGGTGATCAGAAGTGGGTGTCGACAAAGGGAATATGGTAACCCCCAAAGGATTTTAATGATGGTGGAGTCAAAACTTCAAACGCGAATTGCGAGTGCACGGTAAGTGAGAAAATGGTACCGACAAAGTGAACGTGGTAGCTTTCGGCAAGATCTTATTGATGGTGGAGTCAATATTGGCTAATAAAACACTGATCTGCCACACAAAAATGCGCTGAAGTCCCTTCGATCTCACACGAGGACTTTGATCATTTTTTAGATCCGCTTCAGCCTAGGGGTTTATTTTCAACTTACTGCGTGCGAAATTACACTCAAAATTGCATATGCATTGCTGATTTTCATTATTGTTTTAAATATTGTCAGAAAGAGGTATGTAACAAAATTGAGTGGTAGAGGGGACCAAACATTTTTCCAAATAAACTTAAGGTCAAAGATTTTGTTTGAGAGTTTCGCCCCAAAACTCGCATTTAAAACTGGGCATTTAAAAATTATGCTACACGCAGCATTTTTACAATTCAACAATAATCTACTGTGAATAGAGTAAATAGACAATTAGTAACACAAATCTATACCGTGGACATACATTGCATGTCCTTATTTGGATAATTTGAACATCCACTGTACGTCCACATTACGTATCTGGTCTCCTAGTCTTCCAATGGGCATCCAGTGGATTATACATTTGAAACAAGAATGAAGTATTACTGAACATCCATAAGTCACATCCAGTCGCTGTACAAGGTACCATCCGTAATGCACCACTTAGGGTTGCGAATTATAGATATGAACGTCCGATGTACGTTCAACGGACAAAAGCTAACGTTTCCTGGGACCAAAAAAATTATACGCTATACACTTAGATTTAAAAGGAACATCTACTATTAAATACATGTACAAAAAGGCACAATACATAATGTAAAGAAAATACATATAGTATACAAAATACACAAAAATTAATTTTTGTCTTTTCTTTCTTTTCACTTCTTGATCATTTGGCGATCGCTTTTACACAATCCAAGCCGACTTTAGAAGGGAATGAATGAGATTTGAGATACATTATAATTTCATACCTATAATGGACGGCCAATGAATGTGTGCAAGAACTACACGCCGTTATTATGTACGGCAGCGGTTATGCAATGTATGCTCATTTTATCTACATATCATGGACCAAATTCGGATGTCGACCCTTCACTTCAGTCCTCGCTTCAGCCCTTCGCATTCTCATGGTAATATTTAAAATAAAGTGGTGTCAGAAAAGTTGGAGAAATCAGAAAACGAAATTATGTAGTGGGGATCTCGGTGGGGATCTAATTGAAAAGAGAGTTGAAGATTAATTATTTATTTATTCATTTTTGAGCGGGCGGGGTTTCAGCCAAGGCTGCTCTACCAACCCAACCCATTATACATTTACAAATATCCATGCCCGAACCCGGATTCGAACCAGGGACCCTTAGCACCACAGTCCAGCTTCAACTGAACTGCGCCATTGAATAATAAATCTGAATCTTTATTCAATGGTAGTACCCAACTTCACCGCAATAAGTCAACACGAGAGTCAACAATATGGGGGATATATGTTTCATCATAACTCCAACTCGGCCCTATTAAGTCATAATTTAAAACTATTGTACCATCCGCACGTTAGCAAGGAGGTATTGCATTGGAGTAAAAATAACCCACTTTTTTTTGCGGAAATACACGATTTGAAGCACCAGGCGTCCGAATAAAACAAAATCTCGATGATGTCAGTTTGTCGGTCCGTCTGTACTATTATTTCTGACCGATTGGAACCAAATTTGGTACACATATTCTTAATACATAAAAGGAAGAGCTGAAAAGCTTTTATTTATTTATTATTGTCCCTCTCTTGTTCTGGGCCCTCAACAGGCTTGCGCCCAATTACATAGTGACCCGCATAATGCTTTTTAGAGGTGCCTCTGCAGAAGGTCTTAAGTTGTTCTACACTACTCTACTTTTGGGCAGGTTTGGGGGTAGCACCTGTGCTAGACATAGCATTTTTTCCCCTAATTTGGTCTAAAGTCTCTAAAAAGCATTATGCGGGTCACTCTGTAATTGGGCGCAAGCCTGTGTCGAGGGCGCAGAACAAGAGAGGGATAATAAATAAATAAATGAGAACTACTTTTGGTCAGCAACGGAAAATTTGCAAACCCAAAATTGTGCCAACAGAGCCGATTTTTTCCCGTGGAGGTGGATAGCTTCATTTCAATACAGCTACCTGTACACAGTAAACCGCAAATTAAAAACATTTGTTCCTCGATTTGTTCCGTGCGAGTTTTCATATTTAATTTTGACTTGGGGGAGGGGAGTGGGGAGGAACAAAGTGATACTTCAAAACGATCTCGGCACCCAACTCAACTACCTACCTACAATAAACCAAAAATTTTACTTTTTCAAACGAAAGCGTCTCGTCAAGAACCACCATATTCAGGGACACATTAAAATATGCCATCAAAATCCGTCCATCCGTTTAGGAGTTCAGTCACAAACACACGTGCAAAAGAATTTTATATACCGTATGTCCAAGGTTGCACGCACCATAGGCAAACACAGATAATGTATTTTTTCGCAAAGGATCCACGCGGCCTTTGATATGTATTTGAAGCGAGATTTGAAATTAGCGTTCAACGTACATTATTGCGCTTGTCGGCTTGCCTGATGATAGAAAGCTAGAAAGAGATTGGAGTAGTACGTTGAACGCTAATTCAAAGTCCTCGTGGATCCTTCGCGAAAAAATACGTTACCGTTTCCCTATGGTGCGTTCCACCTATGACACTGTATAAAGATTAGCCAGTGTTTACGAGGTTATGCTTTGGAGAAATTTTCGAATTTTTTTTTCAAAACTGCTGTGTTGTTACTTGAGTACGAGTTTGAGTATGAGTAGTGCTCATCTTTAGGACAAGTTTATTCCAGTAATTTCCGGGTTTTTTTTTTTGTTCATTTGGATACGAGGTTAATTAATTAATATGATTATGTTACACGTGCAGCATCTAGTGGATGCGACCCGAAGCTTCCAAGACGTTTGAAAGCCTCTTGTTTCAGAGATATCGCCAGGTATTTCCCAGAATTTTCGTCGCGATATATACCGGGTGGGGCAATAAAGGCAATAAATACGTGTTTTGGGATTAAGCAACATTATAAAGCCATATATTACAACAAATCTTAAGAGCATAAATGAAAATTTGGATACAAGCTGAATATGGGGATTACTCGGTGATTTATGATTTATTATCCACGTCTGGTAAATTTTGTATGCAAAATCGTGTCAATTTTCAGGGGTAGATAGAAATAATTATTGGTTTCTTTAAACATATTTTTATTTGGATTTTCAACTGTGGCCCGCGCATGTGAAAAATTTTATTGTGGCCCCTTG